AAATCATCCAGAAGCTAATGGCCAGGCTGAACAAATGAACCGCGCTGTGCAACACCTGTTGAGGCACTACATCAAGCCCAATCAGGTAGACTGGGACGAAAAGCTTGCTCTAGTCGCTAGTCTATATAACAACGCTGTGCACAGTGCTACCGGGACGAGTCCTAACAGTCTACAACTGACATTCAAACCTAGACTGCCCTTAGATTTCCTACTTCCAGACAACCAGCCAACTGCTACACCAGGCACTCAAGAGCTCGCCTATAGATATGAACAGAAGATGCAGGAGGCTGTAGAACATATGCAGAAGGCACAGGCAGCAATGATAGAGTCTGAGAATAGACACCGCCGCCCTTCTACATTTCAGGTAGGGGACAGAGTCTGGGTCAAATCTTCAGAACTGGGACAGGAGTTCGGGATATCCCGCAAACTCATGCCTCAATACTTTGGACCTTGGGAAGTTTTAGACGTAGTAGGGACAGATCCTGATGGTCCATCATATGTCATCCGTATCCATGGTCATCTCAGAACTTACCCAGTCTTTCACGCCTCTAAGCTCGCTGCATTCGAGGAAACTGATCAGTTTCCCTCTCGTCGATCCATGCTGCCCCCAACCATGGACGGAGAAGTCGACATCGATGATATCGTTGACCACAGGGAGATGCCAGTTCAAAAGCCTCCAGGAAGGGGACATCCTCCAAAACCAAAGCTGCAGTTCCGAGTCCACTTCAGACATCATACAGATCCGAAGGAGGACCGCTGGTTTACTCGGGAGGAACTGATGCAGACCGCTCCTCAAATCGTTGCCCGCTATGAGAAGGATGCCCTGAAAGGAAAGCGCCAGATGGCTACAGATTGATCTTCGAAGAGGACTAACGAAGATATGGAGGAGGGAATGCGAGGCTACGCCCGCTTAGCCCCTACGGGGCCCTATCTGCAACAAGGTCGGCCGCCCTAAGTGAAGGCAGGCACGACAGGCCCTTCGGGCCTCATTCTTCAGGGTACCCCGCAACGGGGAAATTCAGACAGTTGCATTGCGCCAGTTGGTTGAATGAATCCAGCCCCTGGGCCGCCTGTGTAAATGAATGAGAAGCAGGCCCTGGGCTGGATACGGGTACCAGGCCAAACACAGGCCGAAAGCAGTTGGGCGCATGCAACCACATCAGGCCCCAGGCCTGCTCCCTTCGTGACTGGGCCTGTGCCTACCGGGGCCTACTGGAAGTTTCCTGGACTGGACGCAGGCAGGCCACTTCGATATAGGGAAGGGCCTGCCTCCTCATTCGGCATTCGGGTGCTGGTTGCATGCTGCGTGAGTGTTGCTGCGCAATCCGCTGGCTGGCTGGCACTCACGCTCTCACGGGCGAGTAGGAGGGAGCACGCAGCCATAGCCAAGCTGCGCTGCTGTATGCTAGGTGAAGCGCAGGGTGGTCCTTGGGGTGCTAGTGGCATCTGTGCGGTGTGGATCGGGGTTGTGAGTGTTACGAGAGACATACCTGGTGCTGAAGCGTGCGACATTGGTCGCCATATGCTCGTACTTCGGGAAYSCTGTTGATGTCATCATTMTGCTTCGTAGTATAGGCTAGATAGGATCTGCCACCCGTAGTCTGGGCGCCGAGCGCCAATAGGATATCAACTCTGGTTCGTAGTTGATGATGATGGGACTACTTCAGCATTGTCAATTTTGAACTCTTGGTGTGTTCTTATTTGGTGTATCCCGTGATGCCAGTCTGCTGTGGTTCGAGGACAAGACTATCTGGGCTCATATGTATGATGCTGTTTGATTGCCAAAGTTCGCTAATACTCATCTTCCTTGCACATCCCCTCCCATTTTGGCAAACCGGAAGGGATATGGTTCAGTATAATCCGCAAAGCGACGCCATGGGCAATATGGAAGGAAAGGTGCAGCAGGACACTGGACAGTACCCAGAATACGTACGACAAAGTATGGACGACGACTATGATTGAAGCAGGGATCCAATGCCAGTGGAGAAGGGTGAAAGTGACTATTCAGAGCTGTTCTGACTCTGAACAATTACGACTAGCAAGCTTCAGGAAAGTCTGGTTGGATAGAGGCAAGGTGGCTGACATTCATGCGAACGAGCTACGGTGGAAGGACTGGCGTAACTCGGATCCAGTGCAGGGGAGACAGGATCTAGCCCCATACTTGTGGCAAGGCTGGGGAATGAAGGTGTCATCAAGGGGGAGACGACGACAGGGGACAAGGCTGCCAAGATCAGATACAGGCACAGCAAGTTTAAAGTCTGTCTCAAGATTCTTGTAGGACTAAGATATAACTCGCAGGTTCAGTCTGGAACCTGAGAGGGATTCATGAGACGGCAAGCCGACAGTCAATAATCCTCCCGGAAAAGGGAGCAATCAATACTGATCAGGGATAATGGAACGATGCATGAGGGTGTTAAATTGTTAATGATGTAATATATGACTTGCCGGGTGAACAGGAACCGGACTGATGCTCAATAGAATGAGAGATGGTTAATGGAAGACCCAAAATTCAGGGGTTTTGGCCGCATCACCATAAGCATTGTCGTCGACAATTTCGCAAACAAACAATGCAGGTTCATAATATAAAGTATTATAATTTATAAAGTTATATAAACAATTTTTAAAAACACAGGCAAAAAAAAAATTCAGGGAAATATGCCCAGTTTCGGTGAAAACTTCGCCGAAAATGACACCACCTATTAACCATTAGTGCCCAGAATGGATGTGGAGCCAGGACCATAAGGACCTGTTCTGTTAAACCACCACTCCAATGGCCCCTGCACTGTTCATTTTTCTTGTCTACAAGTACCGGGCCAAAATCTACAGTGCCCAGGCTCGGTACAACAATTACTTTTTCTCAGGGCGGCACTGTGGATCTTAGGTTCGGGGAAATGCAACTTTTGGTTTGTCAAAGTAGGTCCGGATGGAGTGATGGTTTAAGAAAGGAACCAAGCCCATGTGGCTGAATCAGACACCCATCAAGTATTGATATATAGACCAACTCCAAGGGTGGATTGCATCTGGCTGCAGTTAGTCAATCTTGGAAATCTACCAGACTACCGCGGGAAATCAAGAATCCAGGTAAGTGGGGCCTTGCCCCAGCCGTCAAACCTGACTCAAGCACGGACCAGGATTTGAATGTGGGTGGGCGAGACAGGAGGTGGCAAAGCCCCAGGGCGAGATCCCCTCAGACCTGTAATCTGCATTTTTGGCTGTTGATCATTGCAATCTCCGGTCTGACATGGGGCATAGATTCTTTCGCCAAGGAAAAATGGAGGCCTAGGTAGCATGTTCCTGTGGGCAAGATCAGAGGCAACCATTTGTGGACGATTCTCGATATCAGAGTTGCGTAATGACCTGGGATGGATGCACCATTGCTGTCTTGATATCTAGGTGGTTTTACGAACAGTCCCTTCGCCAGTTCAATTTTGGCATGGGGAATGGTTTCTCAGACTTCCCTATTTTTTTTTTCAAGTACTGATCTTATCAATTTAGTTGTTTCCTTGACTTTTCTAACAAAAGAAGGGGAAAAAAAAATTGTTGTTTAAAGTTTAAACTTGTTTATAAAAAAAAAAAAAAAAAAAAAGGTTATTTTCTAACAAAATGCCCTCATCTGCAACCATGTGCAGGTCTCATGTCAATTTACACCAAGAAGCATCGTTGCGATGAATTCAGTTTTTTTTTTTTTTTTTTTTTTTTTTGCCACTGGTCGCTCCAATCTATTGGTGGGGAGCATCACCTGCTGGAAATCGGGTACAGCATTGCAAGGAACTTGGTTCATCTCGAACAAAAGTTTTGACTTTGTCATCTGTTCTCATGTCAATATAGGCCAGGAATCATCATCATACTGGTGCAGGCTTCATTTCATTATAAGCCAGCGACCATGCTCATTTCTAACCATGTACCCTCATCAGGGACCATGTGTAGGTTTCATTTCAAGTGCCATCTTCATTGTTCGTTATCATCTTAGCTTATACAATGTTTCGTCATTTGTATGTGCAGCTGTCATTCATGTGCTGTTCTCATCTGAATGTAAGGGAGGAGGTATCGTCATAATTGTCATTTATCAGCTGCGTTGATCGCTAACAGCATTTTGTCCTCTGGAACCATGCGCAGGTGTCATTTCAATATAAGCGAGGAAGCATCATCGTCACAGCATCTATTATCCCGCCGAACGGACAGGCTGCTTTTGCAAGTGGAATGGTTGAGCAAATCAAGGCTATGGTCATACAAGGCCTCTCCTTCAGTGATTTCCCTTCGTTTCGTGTACTGCAACTCACCTCACCTAACATCACATCTCAAGGTCAGATCTGACCAATCGCATGAGCCCTTGCCTGGAAATAGGGGAGGGAGGGTGGGAAAAGGGGGAAAGGGGGGAAGGGGGGAAGGGGGGAAGGGACGAGGAAACGATGCAGTATTTTATGGTCATGGCTCTGTATCGTGCATGGAGCAGCGTTCACCAGGCAGCAATCCCCAAATTGCACATCACAGAGCACACTCTGCTGTCTCCCATCGGTCCGGAAAACCCAGACTCCCTTGTTTGCCGTCTATCAGAAATTTCCTTCCTGTCTACCCCCTTTCTGGCTAGCCAGAGTCTCAAACCCATGAGATCCTACCTGCTTAAAAAAAAGAAAAAAAAAAAGAAAAGCGCTATTGTTATCTAGGAAGATTTTCATGCCCGGGGACCTTGTCCCACATGCACCGTTTAGTGGACCTAGCTCAGCGGTGTGACGGCTGAAACTGTTTTTTTTTATTCATTTCAAATTCAGAAATGCATTAAAAAATCTGCCTAAGAGGCTAAGATACAATTCATTCTTCTTTTTTTTTTCCACAATTGGAGTGGCATACATGACGTCCGAAGAGTCGCTCCGATCCTATGAAGAGTTGCCCTATTCCCGTAGTTGACGCATACGTGGTCCTTCAAAGGTCGCACCAAATTGCCCGTAGTTCACGCATCTTCGGTCCTTCAAAAGTCGCACGAAAATAGCAAAGTACAAGCGACGTCACAGATTTCTCAAAACATAATAAAATAACATTAAAAAAAAAAAAAAAACTCCAGAAAGGACGCCAACGGTCGTTGAACTGGCTGTCTCCAAAAAAGGAGACAGCTAGCTCAACGGAAAGTGGCGAGGGTAGGGGGCGTAGCATTCGAGAAAACGTCATTTTTGGAACTATTTTGTTGGAATAAAAAATGCGATAATATCTATTTACAATTAAATAAAAGAGCGGACCGCTGGATGATTGCTAGGGCGTGCATCTCCTTCGTCACCTACAGTCGCATGGCGAACGTGGACCTAGCTCAACGGACGAAGTGGGACAAGGTCCCGGCCAGGCACCCGGGCGTGCAAAAAAAAAAAAAAAAAAAAAAAAAAAAAAGATTTTTATTTATTTACTTTTTTTGCCTTTCTGCGCTCTCCCAGAGGACCCCAAATCCGGGCTCTTTTCATTTTTCGAGAGTTGGCTGTCAAGGGGGGGGAAGGGGGGTATGAAATTGTTTTAAAGGGGTTAAGGGGGTTTAAAGGGGGGGTGCCTTAGTGAGATTTTGTTATTTTCTTTTTTTATCTCCGATTCGGTGAGGAATTCTGATGTGATCCTCAGCCAAAAGTTGTTTGTATTGCAATTCTACACAACATTTTTTTTCTGGATTTTTTTTACTTTCGTTCTTTTTTTTTTGCGCTGGGGCTGCCCGGAACCCTGCCCGGGGGTCATGCCCGGCCGGGCACCCGGGCGTGTTCCCGGGCACAAGTTCCGTGCCCAGGTGCCCGGAAAAACAGCCTAGATTGTTATGAATTATATAAGATAAAAAAATGGTCGGAAAAAAACAAAATCAACCCCCCTCTCACTTCCTGGGGTCGGACCCACAAGCAGCGTTGTACAACGTGTGATGCGGTTTTCACATTTAAAAAATGGTTTTCCTGATTTCTGCAGATGTTAAAACCTCACTTTCTGTGAATTAACGAAAGCAAAGCATTCTCTGGATCCTCCTGTCAGCCAATGGGCAACGAGGCAGCGAATTTGTCGCCTGTGTTTGAGGATGGGTTCTTCGGTCAGCCAATGGGCTGGCTGTCCCCTCTGAAGGTCATGTTTCTGTTTTGCCGATCTCATGGTGGCTGAGAGCAACGAGGAAGCAACGACGAAACATTGCAAAATCACCCCCTACCTCAAAAATGGGCAAAAATGCAACAGATGAACAGTGGAATTCGAATAAAAAAATCAAAAGAAGTAAGCCTTTTCTAGAACGCGGATTGGTTGACACCCCGGCCACGAAACTTCACGGTTTCACGAACAGGCGGGCCGTGGATATCAATCTCCATCCACAGACTGTATGTGTCACGAAAGGCCGCACGTGATTGAAAACGCCAGCAAGTCGTTGTAAAACGTCTCCAGTGGGTCCCGGCCCCTGGGGCCTGATCCCACCACTTGCAGTTGAGTTGAGAAAACTCAACGGTGTGATACATCTTAGGGGATTTTTAAAAAATAAAAATTCAAAATAAGTGATTAAAAAACGACAGAAACGCTGCCAAGAATTCAATTAGAATACCGGAGTAAGAAGCCTGCAATGGCTTATCATCTTCCTTGCGGTTCCCGTCAATCAGTGGATCAGTAAGAGAAAATCTGCTCGAAACGCTACTCACCTCAACGAACTCCGTGCCATCTGTGACTCAGGGGCAGGTGGAGGACGTGAGACACTGCATGTTACGCTTCACTGAAGCGACCACGACTATCAGCTGCTGGCTTGTTTTCTGCTCCATGGTGATCTGCCTCCCTCGGATGGTTGACCTCTGTTGCATTTTTTCCCTTTGCTCTCCGACAAAGCTGGGTACTGGCTACACGTTTGCTATTTCATTTGACGTACTTCTTCCAGGGCAAGCGGTCATCTCCTGATTAAGCAGAGCATCTCTTGATTAGGCAAACGCTTCTATCACTTCGATAACGCCCTACTATCCAGTCAACCATTCCAATCTGCATTAGAGAAGATACTCTCACAAACCTCAAGTCAGCAAAATAGCGAGGACATCTACACTAAATTCCCAAAATATTTGAAAAATAATTAAAAAAATAAGTTCGAAAGTAGCCCAGGTATCAAGGAAGTTATTAGCCTCTAAAAGGAAAGAAAGACTCTGAAAGAGAAGAGATGTTGAAAAGAGCAATAGAAATGGCAGAATTCGACATACAGCAAAACAAAAAACTCAGAGTCTTTTGCAGAATTCTACGCCAAATCCAAAGAGGAACTAGCAGAATGGACGAAGCTACGACTCAGAAGACTTAGAATTGGCTGAACAATAAATGGTGACATAGGCCTACAGCAGAATCCCGGTTTATGGGCTGCTAGACATAGTTTGACAGAGTTCCTGGACAAGGTGAACACTCGGTTTCGAGATCTGAAATGCTGCAGAGACGGCATCAGATAGACTGAACAACATAGACTAACACATCATGTGAGGCTTTACTGTCGTGGCGGACAAAAAGTGCAAGCCAAATAACTGGCGGAGCAACATAGAGACCTGGTAGTAGGTTTGCTCGTCATGTGCTTCCTAGATCTGCTGTGAATCCATCCACCAGAGTATCAAGAACCATATCTGTGGCTGCTGTCACACCGACACCTCTGGCTCCACTCCAGCCATTGATTTCAGCATCAACTGTTCCTCTTTTAGTCCCAGTGACTCAACCTGTGGCAGCCCATGTGTCTGCCTCTTCATTGCCTAGGCGCCTGTTGGGAGGCTGTGCTCGTCAAGGCAACTATGCTACCAGGAGCCAAGCAGGAGAATAGAGTGCTCACCTCTGGAAAGGCAACCAGGTACCAGCCATAGCTAGCACCTGGGAGAGAGATACAGAGAGTTAGAGGTGGTGCAGTGGGAGGTTCATGGACGAGGAGAAGGAAATGGAGAAAGGAGGGAGAAGGAGAAAGTTGTGAGGGATATTCCTGGTGGACACCAGGAGAGCTTCACCATTGCGCATGCTCCGTCGGCCACTGGTGGGAGCAGCTTTGAGCTGAGTGCATTGCACTTCAGCAGGCATTCGAGTAGGTTAGCTTCGGCTGGCATGAAGTTCGGTCACATTGGCTGATGCTGGTGGCTTGCATCGCAAAGTGCTACATTTCTTGTTGTTGTACTGATTGATTGGAGTCCATTTGAGGCCTTTCTTCATCAAGAGACGTCAATACTGTGGGCATCTTGTTCATGTGTGACCAATGCTTTCGTGTTTTTTCTAACTTTCTAGTAGTTTCTACCCTTTGCTCTGGCGATCCTTCAATGCTTGGACATGAGAGTTCAATGTGCTTGCAATCTGTGGGTTTCATCTCCACGGGTTGATAAGGAGGGTGACCCTGTGGGTAATTTGGAAGAAGAGATGCAGCATCACTCTCCATCGTACAAAGAATCCAGTGGACAACGTATGGGCAACAACGAAGGACCTGATCGAGGCTGAAATCAACTGCAGATGGAGGAGTCAAAACGGGAGAATTCAAAGATAACCAGAAAGGGAACAGCAGACGAAGCGGCTCTTCAACAGGGAATGGTTGATCAATGGACAAGTGGCTTCAATTTGAGGCCACCACTTGATATGGAAATAGTACTGGCACACCGGACTGATGCTCCCCAGAATGGATATGGAGCCAGGACCATAAGGTCCTGTTTAAAAAATAATAATAATAATAATAATAGTAATAATAGTAATTAAAAAAAAAGAAGGAAAGACTGGCACAATTCGGTTAAACCGATCCCACAGCAACCAACCCAAAGGCAAGCCGGCATGGATCCATCCTGGATCTCAAAAAAATGGGGGCTGGGTACCCAAAGGAAATTACAGTCGGGGACATGCAAAGCGGGAACCATCCTCAGAATCAAGCAACAATAAATCAAGGGGCACAAGTACGACAGCGAGCATGGGGGAACGAGGACAGAGGCTGCCAACCGTCGGCGATACCAGTCTTCTTCCCTAGATTCTAGACAACCACAAAGATCCGACAGGCTCCTTAGCCTGAGAGGAATCAGGAGGAGAAAGGCAAGCTGGCAGCCAATCCTCTATGGAAATAGAGCAATCAATGCTGTCCAGGGATCCTCCTGCCAACGGGAGCATGCGTGAGTGCGTACAGTTGATGTATTTCTCTGACTTGCCAGTGGAAAAGGAACCGCACTGACGCTTCCCAGACTATTAAAGGAGCCAGGATCACGAGATCCTGTTTCGGTCCCAACAAAAAAAAAAAGAAAAAAAAAAAAGGTGAGAGAAAGGAGCACCAGTGGAAACTTCTCTTCGAGACAGAAGGGGGCGTGAGTGTGTACAAGTTGTAATACTGTTTTGCTGACTTGCCGAGGGAATAGGAACAGGACTGATGCTCCCCAGAATGGATATGGAGCACCACAAGGACCTGTTTATTAGTTATTTAAAAAAAAAAAAAAAGGAAGCAGAAAAAGACATTAGATCTGATTAGACGCATTAAGCTTATGGTCTGTCATTGTGGCTCTTATTCATAACCCTCGGGAAACTGCAACGAAGTTGACTTAGCGAACTGAAACATCTAAGTAGCTAAAGGGAAAGCACATCAACTGAGGCTCCGTTAGTAGTGACGAGCTAACGACAAATTCAATTCCCATTCTCTTCATAGTGCTGGTTCCTCCCTCGCTGCTTGGAATACTTCCAAGTACATCACCGAGCCAGGGGTTGTTTGCAAATTAAATTCTGAACTTTTTCGTGCATTTACTAAAGCTGTTTCCGTTCGTTTTCTATCGCTGGCCAATCTTTTCGATGTTATATTTGATTAGCTTCAAGTCAAGTACAGCCATGGAATTCGGATTTGCTGCATCATTTGCATTCATTATTACCACACAGTCTGGAATATTGTTTGTCGATTTATGTGTGGCATCCTTGGTCAGGGACCATGCTAATCTAAGTAATCTTCTCTGTATGATTGTATCGTTCCAATTTTAACGGATATTCCAAACTCTGGAATATCGTTAGTAACTTTGTACCCATTCCTTCAAAGCATGTTTTCATCTTTTTTACATCTCGACATGCTACTACGCTAGACATCTCACAGGTAGAGCAGGATATAGCAACAGCGCAGCGGGGCCGGCGTTGCATTTGAGCACGGAAACTCACTGCGAGTTCACCTCCTCGTGATTCAGCGAGTGGCCAGATGAAACATGCTGAGGGCCACCGTGCTCCCATATGATGATGGCGCCCATAGCTTGGCCTTGGGGAAAGAAACGTACGGGGAAGAAGACGGTCGAGAATGGGTGGGATGCGGAATGGGAATGGGTGAGATTCTTGACTGTCACGCTCTGTATCTTGTTGTTTTTAATATTGCGATCAAGGAAGGGAGGCTCGACTATCAAAAGAGAAAAAAAAAAAAGTGCCGCGGTACCGCAGAGAACCACCAAACAGAATATGCAAAGGAGCCTGAGGCACTGACCCTGACTATCATTTGTGGCTTGTGCAGACTGCACCTTACTGGATATAATTGGATGCCCTGAAGAAACAATTCGCCGAGAATGTGCTTGCATATCAACCCAGACATTCAAATTCCTTCTGCGGTTTGATGCTGATTACCAGCGATTTATGGCCAATATAGAAATGCAGGAGCGCTTTCAGAGTGAAATGGTCCAACAGCTGCAAGTGGAAAACACTCAGGTAGGTCATCTCCATATGAAACCAACATCACGTGCGCAAGTGTGGTGATGCGAAACCTACAATATGCGTGCAAGAGCGGTGATGCGAGACCAACATCACGTGCAAGTGCGGTGATGCGGAACCGATGTTGTGTGCAAATGCAGTGTTGCGAAAACCAACATCGTGTGCATGTGAACCCTGTTGCAATGCGAAACCAACCTCAAGTCTATGATCCTTAATGGTACAAAGGGAATTGCAAAAATTGCAATGAAATGAGTAAATGGGGGTCTGAACCTACCCCCCAAAGGGAATTAACGTATGCACGGCAACATTCAGTTTGTTGGAATAGACTGAAATTGTAGTGGAATTGCATGCAAAGGTACGAACTACTACGAAGCAAGATGGGAAGCAGGAGGGGAATGTGATATAACATCCATGTTTTCTTATGGTCCTGGCTCCTTCTATTCTGGGGAGCGTCAGTCCGGTTCCTATTCCACCGGCAAGTCAGAAAAAACCTTAAATTAGACCACAAACTCATGCTTCCTTCCATTTGGCCGAAGGACCCCTGATCAGCATTGATTACTCCACCGTTGGCGGAGGATTGACTGCCAGCTTGCCATGACTCACTCCCTCCTCTCAGACCTGAAAGTCCAGTTCTTCCTCTGGAAAAACCTTTCCTCTCTTGTTCTCGCCTTCCGGTGGCATATCTCCAAACCCCGGCTGGACCTCCACGAATGTGATGATACGAGTTCGACGTTTTCTCTTTAGGATTCTGAACCGGAGATGCTTTGCCCGTGCGCTGCTCTCTGCTGCCGAACGCTTCTTCCTGAGTTTGAGTTGTGCCAGTCCTTCCAGCAGATGCGGCCGTCCTGCAACTCAGCAACTTTCCCGTCTATCAACCATACCCTGCTGAAAATCCGTCTAGCCTTCTTTTGTTGCTCCTCATCCTCCGACCAAGATAGTTTAATCTTCCGCCATCTGCAAAGGATTTCTGCCTGTATCATTGCTTTCGTTTCCGCCCACATCAGCTCTCGTGGTTTGGACACACTTTCGATCATTCTGCTACATCTTTCCTTCCATATGACCCATAGGGTCACCTTCCTGATAAGTCCATACCAAATCCTGTCCGCTTTCCGGGGCTGTTCAGGGATGTTAATCAGAAGGAGAAGTTGGATGGGGTGTTCAGGGAAAGGGGTTGGGAAAAGGGAGTCCCAGAGGGTTGAGGCTCTCGCCCAGTAATCCATCGCCTCCCTACAGTGTATTAAGCAGTGTACTATATCCTCTACTGCACCCTCCGTGCATACCTTACATTGGTCAGAACTGTCAGGGTCTGAGCCCTTTCGCCTAACGTGAAGCAATTGATTAACTGGTAGTGCTGCGTATGTTATTAGCCATTGAAGGCTTCTGATTTTGATTGGTCTGATCGTTTTATAGATTTTCCACGGGATATGTGTGATGTTGTCAGCTTCCTGACCTAGTAGCTTCTGCCACCTGGCCTTGATCACCGTCTCTCGGTCTTTTGTTTTTAACAGTGGCTTGTACCCAAATTTGACTGTGTAATCCTGTATGGGGGTGGGCCTCTTAATGTTTGTCTTCTTATCTGGTTTCCATGCCCACTCCCCGGGGTCAAACTCTAAATTTTGTACCGCCTTATCGAATCTGAAGATGGACTTCGGCCATGTGCCTAACACCCTTACTTTCCTGAGCAAGAAGTAATCCATGACTGTGGTTTCCACGTTAATATTCNGATTGGTCTGATCGTTTTATAGATTTTCCACGGGATATGTGTGATGTTGTCAGCTTCCTGACCTAGTAGCTTCTGCCACCTGGCCTTGATCACCGGCTCTGGGTCTTTTGTTTTTAACAGTAGCTTGTACCCAAATTTGACTGTGTAATCCTGTATGGGGGTGGGCCTCTTAATGTTTGTCATCTTATCTGGTTTCCATGCCCACTCCCCCGGGTCAAACTCTAAATTTTGTACCGCCGTATCGAATCTGAAGATGGACTTCGGCCATGTGCCTAACACCCTTATTTTCCTGAGCAAGAAGTAATCCATGACTGTGGTTTCCACGTTAATATTCATAATCGACGGCATTCCCTTCGTGGAATGCGCAACCGGAAAGGAGGTGAACACCGCTTGAGTAGCTGATCCCTGTTGTAGGTGTGAGAATTGGAAGGCCATAGAGGGAGGATTCTCCTGTACTTTGACCCCCATTCTCCACTTCTCCAATTCCCCCCCTTGTTTCAGCATATCTTTCCACTCTTGAGGGACAAGATTAGTAATGTACAGCAGGTTAGGTCCTCTTCTATAGCAGTCCTTCAATCGTGTACTTAGCTCCTGCTCAGACACCCATTCCTTCTTTTCTTCGTTCCACAAGTGTCCAATTGTCCAAACTCCATTCATTACCCAAGACAGCCATTTGTGGTCTAGGAACAAGGGTTCATCGCTTTCGCTCCTCAACCATTCATTGCCAAATAGAGGCTGCCTCAGCACCTCATCCTTAGATTTCGGTCTGTTGGTCTTTTTTGGCATTATTTCCCTCCAAATCCGGATGAGAGCTGCACAGTACGGCGTTTGGCGGTTGTCTATGTTCCGCTCTATTTCCCCCCTGGATCTTCTTCTCACCTTTTTCAATGACTATTCCTTGTTCATTACCCAGAATAGACCCGTGATGTTACTTGGCGATGACACCGGAGCTAGGGCCCTTATGCTGTCCAAGGCCAGCTTGTTCCATGCCGTTTCTGGTTTCGTCAACAGACGTACTATCCATTTGACTTGAAGGGCTCTTGTCTCGCACCTCGGGTCAATGATTCCCAGCCCTCCGTGTATTGGTTTTCTTGAGATGTACTGCCTTGCTATCTTCGGAATACAACCTCTCTTGTTGGGGTTGCCCGTCCAAAGATATGTTCTAGCCACCCGATTTAGTTCCTTTAGTGAATCATCCAGAATTGTCCATACCACCGCAATGTACCACATCATGGAGAAGACTGAAGTGTTGAGAGCCAGGGCCCGGCCGAACAGTGAGGTGAATGTATTCCCCCATCATCCATGTTTTCTACTGTAGGTTTGGAAACAAAGTGTGAGAGAAGAGTTGACCGTCAAATTACAGAAAAATAAATAAAGAAATAAATTAAAATAATTTTAAATAATTTAAATAAACAAATAACATAACACAAGTTACACAACATAAAATTTGACCCCCAAATCCTAATTTCAGTTTTGGTACCACAGAGCAAGGCTGTTTGACCGGGCGCACGGCCAGATCTGCCCGGAAGACCGGCCTGTTGGCCGGCTGGCCGCGCAGATGCTCTGGGCGGGGTGGCAGGTGGATTTTGCTTTTTTTGCCACCAGCCTTTTGCAGAACCAGTGGCCAGCCTTGTCCTCTAGGCGCAACTCCCAGAGCTGCAACGGAGTTTCAATAAAAAATCTCCCGCTATTTTTGTCATTCAGGGAGGCTGTTTGTGAAGTGTTGATGACGCTCGTGTGATTGTTAACATTGCATTGTGAATAATTCTGTCCTCCCCCTGTTACAGCGTGGTCTCCTCGTCCTCGTCCTCGTCCTCGTTCTCCTCCTCCTCCTCCTCTTCTTCTTTCTTCTTCTTCTTCTTCTTCTCCTTCTTCTTTTTCTTCTCCTTATTTTTTTTTTCGCCTTCCAATCCGGATGCTTTTGCCCCGTGCCCTCCAACCTGCGTGCCTTCGCCTTCGCCTCCGCCTCCGCCTCCATCCCGTCCACCTTCCAACCTCGTGCGCCTTCCAACCCGCGTGCCTTCGCCCACGCGCCTCCGTGTCCAGCCCACGTGCAGAAAGGAAAGCCATAGCAATAGTTTTTCTTCTTCTTCATGTTCTTCTCCACACGCGTGCACGAGAGAGAGAGAGAGAGAGAGAGAGAGAGAGAGAGAGAGAGAGAGAGAGAGAGAGAGAGAGAGAGAGAGAGAGAGAGAGAGAGA